TAAAGGTATTATTTCATGAAAAATTACAATTATTTAGAAACAGTATAAACTTACAAATTTTGAAAATTGAAAGAACAACGAGATTATAAAACATTTTACTCACTCGTAGAATACTATAATTATTTATAAATAACAATGGAGATCTTCTAGGTAATCTATGTCTAATAATTATGGGATTCAGAATTCAAATTTTGTTTTAAGTTCCCCCATAAAAAATTTCATTCTTATAGGTATATCAACATTCTTATAGGTATATAAAAATCATTGTTTCAATTCTAGCATTTTTATATAGGTTTCTTGAGCATCTTGCTGATTCATGTAGAGTTTCGTAGATTTTGGCAACCATTTTTTTAAGTTTTCTGTAGTAAACTCTTATTTTTTTGTACAACTTTATAGAATCTTTCGCCAGGAAAATTCTTATGTTGATCATATATTTAAATATATACCAGGTGCTAAAAGTAATATTTATCGTATAATTATGGAATAATATAATTGCAACATTAAATGCTAAATATTTTATCACTTTATTAAATCTTTGTCTTCACTCAACACAGATTCGCCTCGAACATTTCAAATTCAATGGACCATATTATGGAGAGCCTTTCGGATACAAATTCGGCAGAATCACTTAATTCAGATGACGACTTATCTTTTGATGAAATTTTTGACCTCCTTAGACAAGAATAATTTGTGTTATTTTGTACAAAAGAAATAAATACATTTATTGACAACTGAATTGACGATTTCCAAATTGAATCAACGTTGTGTAATATTTAACCTTTTTCTTCTTCTGCAAATCCTAAACATTATCCGATTCGTCATTGGATATACTATTATTTTGAGCAAAAAAAAATTTTGAGCGAAAGTTAGTCAAATTTGATTGACGATAAGTTTGCGAAAAGTTATCGTAGGATATCGAATTTTTTTTTTAATTAAAATTCGTATATCTAGTGGCGCGACAAGTTTAGTGCTTTTTATCATTGTAACCTTTACAAAGATGAAGACATGTTTGTCATATTAAAAATTACCTAGTTTAACGGAATGCACGGATTTGCTACAATTTTTGGAGGGATGCCGTTCGTAGCGCCATAAATTTTGAACTTTTCCTTTTAATTAAAAAAAAAGTGTAAGTTGCTCTGATTATTTTTCGCAAAGTTACAACACTTTAAAAAAAATCCTTGTATTCTTTACATGCACCAGCGACATTATCATTACCGGTTGTCCCAGCGAGAAATAGTACAACAAATCAAGAAATGATGGTTTCACATGAAGTTAAATTGCCTCAATAAGCCTGGATAAATGGATAATGGTATAAATAAATTTATTCACAAGTAGAGTACTAGTTAAAGTACGTATTAAATTTTTAAAATCATGTATTAAATACAATTTAGTACCTCCGCATTTATATAGATTTAATAAGATGAACAATCTTTCTTTTTATAATAATTATTCGAAAAGTGAGATGAGATCATCTTTAAGATATTTTAAATATGGATCGCATACTGGACATTATAATGTGACCGAAAATTTCCGATAAATTATGTAATAATGTTTTGTTGTTTTACATTGAAAATGAGCCGATCGGTTTGTATATGTACGATTATTAAGTATCTTACAGTATATAATCGGTTCGTTGCCCTTCTTTTATTTATTGATTTATTTTAATTGAGCCATATTAACAATTATTTTATTCACTAGAACAATATCAATGTATTCGTTTCGATCCTTATTCGGGACCTCTTCAGTGCATTAATAGTAACAAGTAACAGTCTAATATATATATTAATGAAGTCATGGTATAGGCTCCCTATCGTATTAACTACTAATTAATTAGTCTTACAATATACTAAGTCCTTTTATAATTAAAAGTAATTTTGAAGCATACTGGTAAATTGTTGTTAAAATGTAATCATACCGTTTACGTTCTCAAATATATAAACGCATAGATAGATCTATATCAAGTTGGCAAATTTACCGAACAAAGAAATATTTTGAAATGTAAATTAAATAAAATTTAAATACAGAGTAATCATAGAAATTTCCTAAGTAGCACACAGCGCGTACAAAGCGTTAATAAAGCGTCAAAAAGAGCATATAATTGCCTTTTTTTAGC